ATTTGTTTTCAGTTATAGTAGTGTCAGTTTGTTAATTCAGTTGTTATTTATTTCAATTTTTGTTTACTTTATTTATCATGTAAGTACTAAGGGCAGATCTGTCCTTTCCATTATGTACTGAACATAACCTATAAATGCTAAGAGAGTGGCGGCGGCAGATGTGTTAGAATCTATCCCTCCTTTCAACTCCTTGTGTTCTCTTGTTTCTCTTCTCTTCCTTCTCCTTTCTCACTTTTCTTCTACTTTTGTAAACCTAAAATCTATTAGGATTCAAGACTGATTACAATCTTGATCTTCTACTGTTTCTACCCATGTGATTCCCATGTCTGTACCAAAAGCCCTGTCCAAACCTGAATGAAGGGATGCTATGATGACTGAACTTGATGCTTTGCATAAGAACCATACCTGGGATATTGTGGATTTGCTTGAAGGGAACGAACCTGTAGGTTGTAAATGGGTATTCACCATTAAGTACCATTCTGATGGCACTATTGAGAGGTTTAAGGCTCGATTGGTTGCTAAAGGCTACACTCAGATGTTTGGTATTGACTACCTTGGGACCTTTACTCTTGTGGCCAAGATGACTTCAGCTCAAGTTTTGTTGTCTATAGCTGCTACTTTTGATTGGCTCCTTCACCAGTTTGATGTTAAAAATGCCTTTTTGAACGGAGACCTCCATGAAGATTCAGAGTTGCTCTTGTATGGAAAGGAAATGCAAGGGAAGGTGTGTAAACTACAGAAATCTATTTATGGTCTTAAACAGTCTCCTCGAGCCTAGTTTGAGAGATTCAGAGCTGCTCTTGTATCCTTTGGTTACACACAAACCCAATCTGACCATATTTTGTTTCTAAAAATAAGTAACTCTTTAGTGACTTTTCTGATTGTTTATGTTGATGACATTGTGGTCATAGGTAATGACACCCAAGAAGTGATTAAGCTCAAAAGACTTCTTAACTCTGAATTTGAAATCAAGGATTTGGGGGATCTTAGATATTTCTTGGGAATTGAAGTTGCTAGATCCAAGGATGGTATCTTCATTTTTCAACGCAAGTATGTTCTTGACCTCCTTGTAGGGACTACTAAACTTGATGCTAAACTAGCTTCCACCACTATAGATTCCAATCATAAGCTCTTTGCCACTGATGGTGAACTGTTGCCTGATAAGGGAGTGTTTCAAGGGCTGCTTGGGAAGTTGTTATTATTCTGCATGACTCGGCCATATATTTCTTATGCAATGAGTGTTATTAGTTAGTTTATGCATTCTCCCAGAGACACATTTAGCTGTTGCAGAAAGAGTTGTGTTATTTGAAAGGCACTTCAGGGAAAGGTATTTTGTTTGCCAAACATGGACACATGAAGTAGGAAGCATACACTAATGTTGATTGGGCTAGATGTATTGATGATAGGAGATCCACCTCAGGATATTGTGCTTTAGTGGTAGGGAACATTGTCTCATGGAGGAGTAAGAAATAGTGTGTAGTAGCCAGATCTTCAGTTGAAGCAGAATACAGGGCAATGACACATGGAGTGTCGGAATTACTATAGTTGAGATCACTTCTGGAAGAGCTGGGTGTTGACTATGAAAAGCCAATGATGCTCTACTGTGACAACTAGGTTGTTATCAACATTGCACATAATCCCGTTCAACATGGCAGAACTAAGCACATAGAGGTTGATAGACATTTTATACGGGAAAGAGTTGCTTCAGGAGAGGTTTTGCTTGCCATTTATTTCTTCAAAAGAGTAGTTGGCTGATGTCTTGACCAAAAGTGTTTCAAAAGGGAAGCTAACACACTATAAGCAAGTTGGGCGTGATTGACATCTATGCTCAGCTTGAGGGGGAGTGTAGAGAGACTGGGATGTATGCTAATGGGCCTGTTAACTTCTTTTTAAGTTATTTTAAGTTTATGCTTAGCTGGATGCCCCACATTAATAAAAGGATTAGTGAGGGGAGAGAGGTGATTATCGAACCCTCTTCTTCTTCTTCTCCATCCCCTTCTATTTTTCTGTTTTCTTCTTCCTTTCTCACTTTTTTACTTCTTTAATCAAGTTTCTTATCAGACTCAGAAGTCAAATTTACTTCTGATGGTAAAGATAAAGAAGGTATAGTTGTCAAAGTTCTACTTCAAGATTAAGGATAACTAATTATTTTACTTTTTCTAAGCATTCAATATTTCAGTGTTGAGGTGAGGAAGAAAAATGATACTATATTATGAAGTATACATTTCATATTTCCTTTTAAGTCCAGTACAAGCATATGTAATTGATTATCAAGAAAAAGGAAAGTACATGCCAGAGTGTGTAAAAAAATCATAAGGAGGACTTGCAAATTTCCGACAAATTGACAATCTTTTTTTGATCAGTCAAATTTCTATCTATAGTATACAGTTTAGATAATAGGTTTTTTAAAACATTATTTTGAAATTTAAGTTTATATTTTTTATTAATATTATGTTTAATTTCTTTTGAAAATTTTTGGCTTTTTTTTTGAATTTTTTGACATTTTTTTTTATTTTTTACCATTTTTTTTTGTATTTTTGCACCTTGCGCCTCAGGCGCAAATTGACCCCTGTGCCTTTTTTGCGCCTTGCGCTTTTAAAACACTAGGGCCATGAGGAAGTGAAGTTGGAGGTGTAGGATTAGGATTAGGAGCACGCAGTCTTCTACGAGAGAAGACAAGAAAATCCTTCACACCAATAGGAGGAGAAGCATCCTATGAGTCAAAATTCTGCAAGACAAAAACAAATGGAGAAGATAACTTTGCAACAACAGAAAAAAAAGGAGATATGCTCAAGGAAAACAACATTTCAAGAAACACGAATATGACGAGTAGAGGGATCATAACAAAGAAATCCTTTGTGGTCTGGACTATATCCCACAAAGGCACACATAACAGACTGAGTAGATAACGCAGATAACTTAGAACGTTCACAAGGAAGAAGATGAACAAAGCGCAGACACCCAAAAATATGGAGGCTAGATAAGTCTGGTGAACGAGCAAATAGTTTTTGGAAAGGGGACATATTAGCTAGAACTGATGAGGGAACATAGTTAATCAAGAAAACAGCAGTACTGGCAGCTTCCACCCAAAAGGAAGAAGGTGCATGAGATTCTTGCAGTAGGGTTCTCACAACACTAAGCACATGACCATTCTTGCGCTCTGCCACTCCATTCTATTGAGGTGTATCTGGACAACTTCGTTGAACTTGTATCCCATGACTTCTCAAGTAGGTTAAGAAGTCTCCATTAGTGTATTCTCCCCCTGAATCTGAACGGAGAATATGCATATGAGACTGAAATCGGACTCGTATCATAGTATGAAAAGGCCGAAATGTAGGATATACTTCAGATTTATGTCTCAGAAAATAAATCCATGTATACCTAGTGCAATCATCAATAAACAAGACAAAAGTACTTGTATCCAAGTCGAGAAATAACAGATGAAGTCCAAACATCACTATGAATAATCTCAAATGGTGATTTGGCATGCTCAGATGTGTGAGAAAAGGGTAGAGTGCGACTTTTATTTAAGCAACAAGAAACACGAGATATCAAACTTTACGGTGTAGTTAGATATCAAACACATGAGAAAAGGGTAGGTGGCATGCTGTAGTTAGTACCATCAAACTTTATGGGAATGATATCAGCCTTCTCAGACATTTTGGAAGCCCAAAAAACGATAACAGATTTCAAGAAAGGGTAACAGTCCAAGAAACTGGTGATTAATCACCCAAATAAAATCAATAGCATCCACACAACAATACTGAAATAATACTCCACCAAAGGAAATTGAGACTCTGCTGCAGAGATCTCAAAAAGAGGGCTGTATCACTCTCAATCCTAAAATGGTAAGTTTCAGGACTGTTAGCAACAAGATGGGATTGAAACCCTATCAAAACTGATCCAAACTTCAAAGAAGAATGATGAACAGATAAAGAAGGCCTGGGCAACACCAACTACAAAGTTCTAGGCTGATTGAATCAGCCGATTAAAAAAAAAAAAAGAAAATCTGACCTGCTGGGCGTCTTTTCCAGGAAAAATGATATCAGCTTCGTCTGATCACAGCAGCACTTAAAAAACTTCAAGTAGGGTTTGAGAGTGATCTAAATACTCCTTAAACAGTCTACTAATCACCCCAAAACTCAAATCAATCAGCAGCTAAAGGATATGGCCCACTCTGATACCATGTCAATCTTCTAGGTTGAGAGAAAACCAAGAGTTTCAGGGGTGTCAAACAGTATATCCGACCCCCACCCTCAAAGAGCCTATATATCTTATTAATTATAAGTATTTACAAAGAGACCCTTGAAAGGCTAAAGATAAAAAAAGGAATAATTACAAAGAGGCCCTTGGAGGGCTGAAAGATAAGAAAGAAAAAGAATGCTATGGTACAATAGGGACCATAGAACAACATTACATCAAGTATCTACACATCTAACTAGCTTTTGAACTCTGTACAGGTCACAGAGCAGCCATCTATACTGCAAGGTGGAGAATTAAGGCCATACCAATTGGAAGGTCTTCAGTGGATGTTATCTTTGTTCAACAACAACTTAAATGGCATTTTAGCTGATGAGATGGGGTTAGGGAAGACAATTCAAACCATATCATTGGTTGCATATCTCATGGAACACAAAGGTGTAACTGGGCCCCATTTGATTGTGGCTCCAAAGGCTGTATTACCAAATTGGGTTAATGAATTTTCAACATGGGCCCCTAGGTATGTCCTTCATATCCTTCTCTTTTTTGTTTTATTTTATTTATTTGCTTTTTGTTTTGATTAGTGTTTACTTTGTTTCCACTCCACTTTCTCAACAGCCTTGTGTTTGATTCAGTATTGTGGCTGTTCTATATGATGGGCGTCTAGATGAACGTAAGCTTTTGAGGGAAGAGTATTCAGGAGAGGGGAAGTTCAATGTAATGATTACCCATTATGATCTTATCATACGGGACAAAGCATTCCTGAAGAAAATTCACTGGTACTACATGATCGTTGATGAAGGACATCGATTAAAAAATCATGAATGTGCTCTTGCAAGGACACTTGTGTCAGGGTATGCCTTAAGCAAAATCTGAAGGCCTTTCTTATTTATTTATTTATTAATTTGCTGGTGTATTGCATTGTCTGCTAGTAGATGCTTCATTGTCTGCTATGTCTCTTAGAAGGTGGGTGCCAGTCCCATACCTGATTTGAAGAATTTACACTGTACCAGGTCCAGGCCCCTTCAAATTTTAACAAATGCTCAACCCAACCCCTGCCCAAATTGCACCTCAAGTGTCATGAATTTTGTTGATTAACAACATGATACACAAAGTATTCCAATCATAATCTATTCATGCTCCTTCATTTCTATGATCCGATCATTATTGATTACCTTGTTAGAACTCTTACCAGTCATTACTTTATGCTGGGCTCAGATTCCACTCAGATTTGAGATAACAGGATTGACCCAGTATGGCTTCACTTAAATATCAGTTAATCTGGTGATTTCTTTTTCAGTTTTCTAGGTTATATAATTTACCATTTGACAGTGCATCCACAAGAATGAAATGCTGTTAATTGGGAAAGAACATTATAGTTCTAAGAAGTAAGGAGACATATTAATGCAGGAATGGTTTTCTGCAGTATCATCGAATTGTAAATTGGATAGATTAGGATGAAATGCAGGAAAATATCATCAGAGACCCTACCAAGAAAACCAGTACATATTTAAGTTTTAAATACATCCCAACTGCTTCCTCAATTGCTTGCAAGCCCTGTACATGGGCAATATCAAAAATGTAGAAGAGAGATGGTTTAGGATGGCGATATAGAAGAAGTCTCACAAGGTAAGAAGACAACTAAATGGTTAAGTCTATCCACACACCCCTCCCAGGACTCTGGATTGCTAGAATCAGCATTGGTAATTGAATAAAAAAAAGAAAACAAATGGATATGGTTGTCATAAGATGGGGAGGTCAGAGGTCATTGACTTGCTATCTATTCAGTAACAGTTTTCTTCTCGCAACCCTCTACCTCGTTGATCAGTGCCAACATAATCCTATTAGACACCTGTCAGTGCAGGAAGAAAAAATCCAGCCAATGTTGATGCAGCATTGAGCTGGCCAGTGTATAAAAAATATAATGAATCATCTAGAACCAGATACATGCATTTCATCAAAGGTTGAACCGCAGCTGGATCAGGCCATAGGGATAAAATTCAAATGTTTGAGATGTCTCATGGATAACAGGATTGATCAACTGTAACATAGTAGGGAGATAAGTCATCACATTCTATTCCTTAAATTGCCATACAAAATGTCCATTATCATACCTTATTTTTTTCCTTTTCAATGACTTATTCATACTGAGTCAGGTTGACCCAGACTTGTGATCATATTTTTATCTATGATCCATATCTGGATTGACCAGATCAAAATCATGGTCCAATCCATTAATGGACTAGAAGAGACGGTAATGAATTTGTGGATTAACCAGATCAACTATGTTTTCAACTGTTAAGTCTTGACTAATGACAACGCATTTGTGGCTCTTCATGCAACATATTTACTTCCACCTGATATTATGCAAGCCAATTACCAGGATTTTGCAAGAAAAGAAGCATTTCCCATTGCAATGAACTGACCTAACATTAACTGCAGATTTACTGTTTTTCTCCTATGACTACTTTGTCACATTTTGTGGACTTAATTTAGTGCACACTGTCCCACTTGATTGGTAAGTAGCAATAGATATTTCCATGGTTACCTGTATTTAGGAAAATGGGCATCATGAATGAGGCTCCTCCTCATAAATGATTACAGGGATACAGTTTCCGTGGTGACAGATCCATGGCTGATCTGTATCCAAGTCTATTTAATATAGCCTTCAACATGGAAAGGAAGATATATATGCTGCTTGTTTTTCTGGATCTGGATAGTCTTGACTCTGGAGTTTGTTCCCTGAATTCAGAAGAAACCTCTTTGATTGGGAGATCAAGCAGCTAGAAACTTGTTTTGTTGGTGTTAAAGTCTTTTTTTATCAGCAGCTCAAAGAATTTTATTAAAACTTAAAAAGAGGAGAGTACAACAAGAAGTTAGAAATTACACCCTTTACAACAAAGAGTCCCACCACCCTATTAACATTGAGCCCAAAATAAATGATGTCTATTTACTCCTTGTTTACCTAATCCATCCGCCAAACCATTAGTGGACCTCCTAACCCATCTTAAATGAATTTGCATTTGTCTGGCAGCAACTTGAACCACCTGAATTCATTTATGAAGTGCCATAATACCCTTCTCCTTTTTTCATCCACTGATGACTATTTTTGAATCCCCTTCTACAATCAGCCTTGTGATTCCCATTTCCTTAGCTTTTTGCACCCCAATAATAGCCACCACGAATTCAGCTCTCACTGAATTTCCTGATCAATAGTTCCTGAAAACAAGCCTCAAATGTTCCCACTCTCATCTCTAATCACTCCTCCATCAAAGTTAAGTTTCATCCATCCTCCACTTGGTGGAGACCAAACCTCCAAGACCTTTTGTTTCCTAGAGGAAGAATGGGAAATTGACCCTCAATTTCTAAAAGGTTGCGTTTATTTTGCAAGAAAGGGATAAGAAAATAGGAATATTCTTTAAAGATTCCATTTTCTCGAGTTTAGTTTGTGAGATGCACAGGGATGGGACGGGAAAATTGTGGGACACAGTTTCTCAAAAAGTGGGATGCAGGGCCACGCCAAAACAGTGTGACCCCAGTGGGAAAGAAAATTAAGGTAAGGTTTATCGAGTTTTATCGAGGCTTGTCACACCAAAACAGTGTGACCCTGGTGTGACACTTTGACCTGCAACGTTCAGTCATTTCTATGCATGAAGCCGTGAATACCTTTCTGAGCTATTTTTACTGAATATAACAAAACCCAGGTCTAAGTTTTTGTCACCAACTTGAGTTCAATATCTCAGATTTGGGTTTGCCTAGATATGATAAAAGGGCTTCACAACATCTCAAACCAATTTGCCTAGATATGATAAAAGGGATTTGTCTTATTTCTATTTTTTACAACGTCTCAAAGCAATTCCACCCTCCTCCATTGATGCATACGCTGATTTTCATATGTCTTCTCATCCCCAACACTATACAACATAAGGACTTAACCTGTATCTACTTCTTTCATTTCAAAAATTTCTTCAGTAAGTTGGTGGGTCTGTATTGTACAAGATTCCTCCACATTTGTTTTGTCCTGTTTCATTTTTGGTGTTTTGCCTTGTTTCAATTTAATTAGTCAAGTTTATCACGTTCCACCAAACCTCCATTCCTAGTTTCAAAACTAGGTTTAGCACTCTTCTTTGCTCATTGTTTTCCCTCAAGGCACTATGGAGGAAATAGTGAAAATCATTCCTTCTAGTCACTTGCACCATGATCAGTTGCTATGGAAACACTCAAGCTCTTAAATTTACACAGTAAAATCATACAAGTTCTTTATACAGTCCTGTCCCAGCCATTTTCATCACACGGTACAATGGAAATCTATATGGTAGCTAAAAATTCCATTCAGATTCCATATTTTCCTATGGAGAGTTTACTGGGATGCAATTCCCACTGTGGACAAGCTTTTTTTCTTACATGAAGAGGATAAACCATGCCTTCTCTATGATGTATATTAGGAAACAATGCATCATTTGTTTTTCTTCTGCCATTTTGCAAGAGAAATTTGGTTGGCTCTCCATCTGAACATCTTCTAGCAAGCATTAAGATGTTCCACAAAATCATCATAGAATGGAAGGGAACTGAACTGTGGTATTCCCTTCTTTGGGTGGTGATGTACAAACCTTTTTCAATATATAATAATATTTTATTTTTGGGTTTGGTTGACAAAAAAAGTAAAGCAAACATTTTTCTCTCAATTATTTCCCCACAAAACAAACATGGGAAAAGGAATATTCCCATTATTTTCCCATGTATAACCAAACGATGGAAAGTGAAAATTTCACATTTTCTCATCCCATCCCATCCCATCCCCACCAAATCTTCCCACAAACCAAACAGAGCCAAAAAGTCTTCACTGAGAAATTTGAGAATAGTTTCAAAGTCTTCACCCAGTGAGCTACTCTAATTGTAACAGTCTTTAAGATTGCTTCCTTGTTTCTTTCTCTATTGTCCACACATGTGTTGCCCTTGCACACTTCCACAAGATTCTACCTATTCTCTTTGTGCTTCTCAGAAAGGATGGGCTAAAGAGTCTTTCCAAACTAACAGGAGGGATTTACCTGGGACCAAAAAGAGAGCAAAACCATTATCAAATATAACAAGCAAAAGGACAGGAGATTAAGAGATGGAAAGCACTTTCACAATTCAACTTACACAAAATGTACCAATCAGGGAACAAGCACCAATTTGGTCTTTTCTTTTGCAGCAAATCACCTGTGTTGATGATCCCATAATAAACTTCCCAACAGGAGTAGAAAACTGTTGAAATAAAAATCTGTAAAAGAAAAAGAATATTTCTTGAAGAAGAATAAAAGAGAGAAGAAAGAGAAGAGGAGATTTGAGAGGGAAAAGAGAGCGCAATAATTCTGGCCGCCCTCTTCACTTTACAAAGACCAATATGCCCTAATAGGGTAGCTAACACATAAAACAGCATAAAACACTTAAAATAACTACTCAAAAAGGACCCAACAAGAGTGTTGTGGTCCCTGCTTCCTATCTAAACAATAAATAATCAAAAACTACCACTGAAAACTGCACAAAACTGTCTAAAATCTCAACAGAAGGCATTGACTTCTAGGGAGATAGGGGCAAAGGACCCAACAAGAGTGTTGTGGTCCCTGCTTCCTATCTAAACAATAAATAATCAAAAACTACCACTAAAAACTGCACAAAACTATCTAAAACCTCAACAGAAGGCATTGACTTCTGGGGAGATAGGGGCACACCGAACTTCTTTAATAGGGAAGGAATGGGAAGGGGAAGTGGACATGAGGGAAGAGAACAAAGATTTACAGGCAAACAACCCAGAGGGACTGAGAGCCCACACCCGTCTATCATCCACTGACTCATAAAAAACTTGGCTATC